CCCCTGCATTGAGGGGAAACTCAGGCAAATCCTGGATAGCCAGGATGTGGTTAGCTGGAGCAGGATCTCATTCTACAAGCTGTAGAGGCAATCTACTAAGGCCATCTTCATGGCCCATTTCTTTGCCTGGTTTGTGAACCAGGGAGTAATCATATGCAGAAAGGAAAATTGACCACCTCAGTATTCTAGGAGAAATTATGTGTGGGGTTTGCTTGTTGGTTGTAAACAACCCCAACAGTTGTTTATGGTCTGTATAGACCATGAAGTGGCAACCATACAAAAACTCATGGAACTTTTTTATGCCTGCCACTATGGTCAAGGCTTCTCTATCTATCTGTGCGTAATTACGCTCAGCAGATGACAGAGTCCTAGAATAGTAGGCTACAGGGACTTGTGTTCCATCAGCCTTCAGGTGACTTAAGACAGCCCCGATCCCATAAGGGGATGCATCGCAGGCTATACACATCGGCAGCTGCTCATTGAAAACAGAGAACAGCATTTGAAAACAACAATGCCTTTACCTCAGCAAAACTCCTTTTGTGGACTTGTGTCTACTTCCATGGAGCCTGTTTGTCCAAGAGCCAGTGTAACGGCTCTGCCACTGCAGCCTTGTGAGGGAGGTAGGAATGGTAAAAATTTAGAAGCCCAAGGAAGGCTTGAAGCTCGCTCTTCAACTTGGGACTTGGAGCCTGCTGAATCGCTTTGAGCTTAGATTCAGCAGGATGGATGCCTTTGGCATCTATGCGAAACCCCAGGAATTCAGTGGAAGTTACTCCAATTTTGCATTTTTCCTGCTTAAGCTTCAGCCCCGCTTCGCGGAACCGCAGCAAAGCCTTTCAGCCAGATTTTCGAGTGATTCCCCTGCAATGAGGACATCATCGAAGTAAGGGCAAACTCCCTGAAAGTTACGCTCCATCACGCTTTGAAAAATGCCAGAGGCTACGTTAACCCCAAACTGCAGTCTTCTGACTTTGAAAGCTCCCTGGTATGTTACGATGGTCTGAGCCTCAGCCATTGCATCATCCACCAGTAGCTGTTGATAGGCCATAGCCAAATTGAGTTTGGCAAAAACTCGGCCTCCTTTAAGTGAGGCCAAAATGTGGCTCACCATCAGCACCAGATAAGAGTGCTGCTGTAACGCTTTGTTTAATGTGCATTTATAGTCAGCACAAATGCGGACTTCCCTGTTGGCCTTGAGTGGTGTGACTATGGGTGTTTTCCATGGACTGCTATCCACAGGTTCCAAAATACCTTACTGTAGCAGTTTATCCAGCTTGGCATTAATTTTTTGCTTAAGCGCAAAAGATTGATGAGGCTTAATTGATGAGGTGCAATGGAGGGATCTAACTGCAAAGCAATGGGAGGCCCCTTGTACGACCCAAACTCTGGGCTGAGCACATCAGCAAACTCCTTGCAAACTTCCACAAGGCCTGCCATTTGCAAGCTATGTAGCCCAGTCACTTGAATCCCATGTGCCTCGAACCAATCGAGTCTGATTAGACTCATGCGGTCACCCTCAACCATGACGATGTCCAGAAACCCCTCAAAATGCTTACGCTACACTCTGAGTGTGGCCTCCCTTTCACACTGACTCGGGAATTCTGGAAGTCAGTTAAGATAAGATCTGAGGGCCTGAGATTAATTCTCTGGCTGCTCCTATAGCAAATCTGCTTGAGGGTTTCCTGGGAAATGATTGACAGAGCTGAACCCGTGTCCAGCTCCATCATTAAGGGGATCCCCTGCAATTTGACATCAAGACACAGCTTCTTTTTTAATGGCTGGTGAACTCCTGTTCTCAAAACGCTCCTGCGGGATGCGCAGAAGCCCACCCTATTCTGGCTGGGGACCCTGATACTTTTCTGAGGCAACTCTTCCAATGGACAGTCTTTCTTGCAAACCAAACAAACGGCGGCTATGTGGCCTTGCCAGCCACACACCCGGCAAGTAGCAGAGTGAAAACGGCAGTCGGAGCACTTGTGGTGTTCTCCACATCCAAAACACCGAGGCAATAGAACTGCCTTGGCAGACCCCTTATCAGCTCGCTCTTGGGGCCTTCTCTCTGCTGGCTGCTGCAGACGGTCGACCTCATTTTCGGAATCCAGTTCAGATACCTCTTGAGCAACCTCTTGATGAATGAAGCCCAAACTTGTAGGGTTCTTGGAAAGCTGCAAGGCCTTAACAGCTCCTCCCGCTGCTTCGTTGGCCGTGATCTCCCTTAGCACATCTTGGAAGGAAACGTCTTCCTTCACAAAAATCTTTTGTTGCAGCTCTCGGCTCCTCAAGCCACAAACTAGCCGATCACGCAGCCATTCTTCTAAATCTTTGAATTCACAGGGCCTTGCAGCTTGATGTAGAGCAGCAATAAAGTCAGCAGCAGACTCTCCTGGACGTTCGTCCCGCTGCTCGAATGCATGATGCCATACAATCACCAAAAGCTTTGGTTCAAAATGCTCTCTTAACATTTTCTTAAGTTCAGTATAAGCAATGGATTCCAACGGTGCTGGGGCGACCAGGTTCTCAGCAATATCAAATGTCTCTTGCCCACAGACACATAGTAACATTGCAGCTTTGAGCCTGTCCTCCCAAACTTGTTTTACCCAAAAGTAGTTTTCTACCCGAGCAACGTATGAACTCCAATGTTCAGGGTGCACTGTATTGAATTCGGACAGACACCCAATCTTAGCCATCACTCCTCCTTGGTGGCCTCATCAATGCCTCGTGCTGCTCCGTCTTGCGAAGAGGTTCCAGAACAAATCTTGCTGAACTCTCCTCCAGTGTTTTCGTATTGGCAGGCAGTCACACAAGTCAGAACGCCGAACTTCCCAGCCCTTCAGCCTTCCATGGTGAGTCAGCCTACTTTTCTCTGCTGCACAATCCCATCCTCATCGCCAATGTTCTGTTCTGTGCGTTGGTAAGGCATTGAGATGAGGCAGGATTAATAACAGTTGTTACTTTATTATTCAACTGAACCTCAGCAGAACAACACACAGGATGGCGCGGATCTCTTGTATACCCTTTTGCAGGGACAGCGTCAGCCAATAAATGCAACATATTTTCTCACTTTGCGCATGCGCAATAGGCTGGAGACAGCCTGTCTGGCCCGGGCAACCACATGATCTGCCCAGGTCTCTCTGCAGCTTCCTGCACCTGCTCTGTTAATCACAGATCCAGGACATAACAGTGGGGATTGCCAATTATTAGCATTTGTGGATGATCTTTGCTTCATTGCAAAGAATTTGGCACAGGTGAAGGAATTTACTAATCAATTGGAGAAAAAGTTTGAATTGAAAAGTCTGGGTGAAATACAAAATAATCTTGGTGTAGAGATACAAAAAACTGAGAAAGGTGGTTATGTTCTCAGTCAAAGAAGGAAAATTGAACAACTGTTGGAGAGATACAACATGAAGGATTGTAATTCTGCTCCAACACCTACAGTATGAGCATAGATTTTCACAATACTTTGGGCGAGGACAAAAGTGAAGCCTGTGATCAGGAGATATATCAGTCAGCAATAGGAACCCTGTTATATCTGTCACAGTGGTCCAGACCAGACACAGCAGGTGCAGTAAGCATCTTAAGTCGCTTTACTGCTGCACCAATGCAGTTGCATTGGATGGGTGTGAAGAGAATTCTCAGGTATTTGAAGGCAACTGTGAATTTGGGTCTTCAAATACAGGTCTCTGAAGAATTAAAGTTAAAATGTTATGTTGACAGTGATTATGCCAATGATGTGCAAACCAGAAAGTTCAATTCTGGGTTTGTAGTATTATTTGGAGGGACTTTGATTGGATGGAAGTCCAGAAAATAAACAACTGTAGCTATTTCTACTGCAAGAGGCAGAATTTATTGCTCTGTCTGAACTTTGTTCAGAGGTAACCTGGTATGTACAGATGTTAAAGGATATAAGTATAGAAGTTAAAGAAGCTGTAACAGTATTTGAAGATAATGCTGCTTGCATTAAAATGATAACAGGTGACAGGGTGAAAAGTAGAAGCAAGCATGTGGACATTAAATACTGTAATGTCAGAGAAGCCATCAAAAGTAAACTAATCCGCTTGCTTAATTGTTCTTCAGATGACAATCTGGCAGATGTAATGACCAAGCCATTGGATGGAGTACACCATGGGAAAAGTATTAAATTATTTGGTTTTATGTCTATTCCAGTCATAAAGGGAGGAGTATCAATGTGCAAGAATTTATGAACTGGAATAGCCATAGCAACGAACCAGCCAATGGGAAATATTATATAACTGAGACATAGGATTGGCTGTTTGAGGCATGTGATCCAGCCTAGGTCTGGGCATGTCTTAGTCTCTCCCTGTGTCCTGATCTCCAAGTTAAGAGTTGTTGATGTTCCTCAGAGCTGAATGAAACTGTATGTATCATGTTTATATATATTTTATAGATGAAGTTTTTCTAAACTATGCCTCCTGCTCATTTTGAATGTGTGCTTATTTTTTGGGCTTATTTTTGCGCTAGAAGCTATAAAACTCTTACATAATTGTAGGAAATTATGAGAAGGAATGTGTATATTTAATGTTACATGTATTAACTGCAGCGAGAATTGTATTTGCTCAACATTGGAAGGATGAAGAATTACCAGCGGAGGAAGAGATAATTAAGACAATTTTAGACTAGCACTAAAAATGAAAGAAAAATAAGATTCAGATTACTTTAGAACACGGGATACATTTTATCCAGTGGTAGGATTCAGCTGGTTTGCACCACTTTGGCAGAACTGGTTGTTAATTTTTTGTTGCCCAGGCCCAGAATGGATTTTTGGAAGCGGCATCCGCACAGAGAACTGGTTGTTCACATATTTGAATCCCACCGGTTTTATGAATGGTTAGAAAAATGAGGTAGAAAGAAAGGAATTTGACATGTATTAATAAACTAAACACTGGAACCCAGACAATATGTTGCTGATAAAATATTAAGGATTTGTGACTATAAATAATTAATAAAATATTGGGGGGGGGGAGGAAAGAAACTATTCTTACCTGTACAAGAATAGTCATCAATTCTGATGTAACTTGTTTTGCAGACACACATAAATGACCCTGGTATGTTGACACACATGGTATTTTCCCGACAGTAATGTCTCCCTTCAGAACATTCATCAATATCTGTGGATAAAATAACAAGGCCAGATGAACAAACACTGCTGAATATCCTGCTGTTGTAATAATGTCATCAATTATAGCAATTCTCTCTGTCTTACTTCCTAGGCAGAGATTTAAGTTACAGTACCCCAATTACCAATTTTTACTCTGCGACTATTTAGTCATAGAAGCAATTTCCTTCATCCCTTAGAAGAATGTTTATGACTACAAATCTGAAAGGCAACTGCTAATTGCTTTAGTATTACTTAATATGTATATTGTTACATAAAAGTAGAAGTAGTGTATACCTTTTTTTAATGAAAATTATCAGCACTTTTGATCAGTGACGTCATCAAAGTAAACAAACCCACGTGCTGATTACGTCAACAGGGCACAGCCCTAAAAGGAAGTGACGTGCTCAGCCCCCACCCTCCGGATGTGACGTTTTGGCCTAATCCCATCAAGATTGGCAGTCAATCCTCTGGGTACATGATTAGGTTAACCCTAGACTAATTCTATGGACATTCAAAACCAAAAAGAGCTAAGTAAAGTGAATAATTAGCAGAGGCCTGTGTTTTTGGGGAACAAGCCCTACTTTGGGGAGCTGTTAACCCTAGACTATTTCTATGGACATTCAAAACCCAAAAGAGCTAAGTGAATAATTAGCAGAGGCCTGTGTTTTTGGGAAACAAGCCCTACTTTGGGGAGCTGTGAAATAAAAAATAAAAAAGGCTTTTTATTTCTAATCATTCTAGCCTAACGATGCTTTTAATTTTTGTGGAGTTTTAAAAATCAGTGCCTCAAAAGCTGGGGAAAAAGAAGCCCCTGAAAGGCAGCCAGAGCCTGCATTTAACCCCTTTTTTCTAAAAGATATTTTTTTCTAAAAGGTATTTATGTCTAGGTGGTTTTAAAAGCATTTCCTCGAATGCAGGGGGAAAAACAAACAAACACAGCCCCTTTTAAAACCCACAGCTGGTTTTTACCTTTGTAAAAAATCTAAACACACATATTTTGCCATTTGTACCCCGAATAAAATTTATTCTGCCCGCCTTCCCACTATAGCAAAAGACAAGGAATATTAACAGGAATTAAAATGCTCACAAGAGGCAAGCAGCCAACCAGGCTCACAAGAGGCAAGCAGCAAGCAGCCATGTGTGTTTCTGTCTGTCTGCTAGTAAAAAAAAAAAGAAGGGGTAGGCCTTGTTTGGGATGTGCCCGGGCATGTCATGCTCCCCGTGATCTGGGCATGCGCTATGCTCAAGGGCGTGTCATTGCAAGGGGCAGGGGAGTTTGCTCCCCCTGATCTGGGCATGCGCAATGCTCAAGGGCGTGTCATTGCAAGGGGCAGGGGAGTTTGTGCGGGCAGGGACATGCCCGGGCATGTCATGCTCCCCGTGATCTGGGCATGCGCAATGCTCAAGGGCGTGTCATTGCAAGGGGCAGGGGAGTTTGTGTGGGCAGGCCTGAACAGCTAGCGATTTAGTCCCAGCAGTCTTTTGAAGATGGCAGCCTCTGATTCCAAAGGTGTTTTTACACCAACAGCAAAAGATAGCTTCGGACACTCTGATACAAGGCCCCAGCCAACAGAATGCAACAAAATCTGTTGCAGGGGTTATGATAAAGAAAATTTTTTATTCAGACCTGTGTTACATGGCTGTAGCATGGTGTGTTGTAACTTTAACGATGAGATGCAGAGTACTTACCGGACAGCCTGTGAAATGGTGAATGATACTACATTATCTCCCAGCAATGGTAAGTAAATATGTTTTTATTTATGATAATGTAAATGATGCTGGAGCGGATACACTGCTAACAGAATGTGCTTTATATTTTGCAGACTCTGAATTAGTAATACCTAGACAGCAAACACTTCAAGACACCCCGCTTTTAGATTCCTGTGATAATCGCCGTGGTCAGAAAGCTTCTGCAGATTTTTCTGATCTAGACTGTAACAGGGATTATGAGTTATCCCAGAGACCACACTATCTACCTTGTGAGTTAAAGAGCTGCAATTTGTGTAAAGACTGGTTTGCTTGTGACTACGGACGTGATTTATGGGGCACAGGCGGGCCAGAGTATTATAAAATAGCGTGTTATAGGCCTTTATCTTCTGATTCTGATAGTGGTGATGAGGGATATTTTTCTGATGGCGGTGCTGTGCGCCCTCTGAATTCTGTATAACCAATAAAAGACTGCGTTAATGTCAACACTTGAACATTTGTCAGTGGTCTTTCAGTATAACGATGCATGAAAAGCTTTTAAGTCGTATTTATTATACTCCGGGGTGTGTAGGGAGTTATGGAGGTGTGAATGCCCTTTTTCAGGAAGCTAGAAAACATGATAAAAACCTGACCATGAAGCAAGTCAAGACGTGGCTGTCAGGGGAAGACGCTTATACGCTTCATAAGCCTGCAAGAATTAATTTTCCTAGAAATAAAACAGTAGTGTCTGGCTTAGATCATCAATGGCAGGCTGACCTCATAGATGTCTCCAAATTTTCTAAAGAGAATCATGGAAAAAAGTACATCTTAGCAGTTATCGATGTGTTATCTAAATATGCCTGGGCCTCCCCTTTATCTGATAAAACAGGGAGGGAAGTTACATCCGCTTTCCAGAATATCTTTCAAACAGGACGTGCACCCCGAAAATTACAGACAGATGCAGGTAAAGAGTTCTTGAATATTCCACTGAAGAAACTTTTAGCACGTTACGGCATTCATCATTTTGTCACTCATAGCGAAACTAAAGCAGCCGTTATAGAGAGGTTTAATAGAACCCTAAAAAACAAACTCTGGAGATATTTCACAGCTAGAAATACCCACCGGTATGTGGACATTTTAGCAGATACTATTCAGGGGTACAATAGCTCTTACCATCGTAGCATCGGTACTGCTCCTAACACCGTAAATTTGTCTAACGAAAGGGGTGTGTGGATGAGGCTTTATGGGGCAACTTTAAAAAGAAAAAGAAAGGAAAAATGTCTTAAGATGGGGGATCATGTCAGGGTATCCAGACTGAAGGGTAAGTTTGAAAAGGGCTATCAGCAAACCTATACGGATGAGATATTCATCGTCAAAGAACTGCAGACAAGGGGGGAAAGAGCGGTGTATAGATTAAATGATTACACTGGTGACCCTGTAAAGGGGGCTTTTTACTTTGAGGAGCTCCAAAAGGTTCCTGCTGACCAACAGCGCATATACAGAATAGAGAAAATTATCCAAAAAAGAGGGCGGGGGAGACACAGAGAATTTCTAGTCAAATGGACTGGATGGCCAGAGAAGTTCAACAGTTGGGTTAAGGAGACTGAAGTACAACATCTTTGATATGGCAGAGTTTTACATCACCCTTCCCAGCAATGCGTCAGCAGCAATTTTCCCCCAAAACAGAAATTCTAATTTCACTATACAATTAGCAAGATCATTGGATCTTCCAGGGTCATGGGAAGTAGGGCTAGCAGAGATACAGTATCCGCATAGTTGGCACACATTAACTTCTCCTGGATATTTTGAAATTGCTAATGAGAGAAAGAGATGGCATTTTTCTTTGAGAAGCGGATACTATACTAGCATCCGACAACTGTTAGAAAATATGAACAAGCTTATATCAAGTGCCAAGGACGGCCCTAAGACAACCCTACAGTATGATGCAGTGGGTCGAAAAATTAACCTTAAAGGTGATGAACCGCATACCATTCTAGTTAGCGGAGAACTTGGACATCTGTTAAGTACGTTTCCTGGATTCAACACCTTATATGTTTACACAGACATTGTAGAGCTCCAGATAGTGGGTGACTACTATGTGCCATTACTGCGCTGTGTGCCTGTGCAAGGGCAAGACAACGATTTCATCACAATAACCTATGACCGTCCACATTATGTACCGGTCAGCAAACATCACATCGATACCGTTACTATAGAAATCAAAACCGACCAGGACAAAAACGTGCGTTTTTATAACGGGAAGGTGATTGTCAAGCTTCATTTTAGGCCTCGGAAAAGTGAAGGATGGTTGTAATCAAGGAGCACGGAAACCCTCAAGACTATGTGGCTTACTACAGGGCACAAGCCGGTGGAGGCCTTCCAGGCTTCCGAGGAGCCCCCATTATGTACGGGACAGGGTTAGGGGGTCTGTTCCGTGGGCTTTTTCGAAAAGCAATGCCTTTTTTGAGGCGTGGATTAGAAATCATTAAGCCGCATGTGAAATCTGCTGCCAAAAACATTGTCAGAGATGTTGCGGGGAATCTTGTATCCCAAGTTGTTGATAGGGGGCAGGCTGGATCAGGGTTGTTCATAGCCAGGAAGAATTATGCATCGGGCCCGCCTATTCCGCTTAAAAAGAAAAGACTTGTGAAAAAGGCCCGTCATACCAAGAGGAGACGTGCGCAGAAGAGGAAGCTCTGTGACAAGGAAGACATATTCTAATACAATATGTCATTTATTCATTCTGCTTCAGAGGAATGTGTTAAATCAGAACTGGATCTTTTTCAACTGGCGCCTACACAGACCAGTATTGAAAACAGTACCTATGTCGAGATCCCTCCTTTATCAGCGCTAACACCCAACGCACCCCTGGAATTTTTTATCACGGGGCATGGTGAGCATTACACGGATTTAAACAACACTCTGCTGTATGTGAGTTGCAAGATTGTAAAGGCGGATGGGACGGATATTGATGATGGGGCAAGGGTGGGCCTGACCAACTACCCTATAGCATCACTATTTAACCAGCTGGATGTTACTTTGGGAGATCGGCTCATTACACAGAGCCATCATTGCTATTCTTATCGGGCCATGATTGAACTGATTCTGAACTTTGGTAGTGATGCACTGGGTTCCCAATTTACAGCTGGGGGTTTTTACAAAGATGACTCAGAACTCATGGAGAGTACTCTACTGACAGCTGCTGGGAACTCCGGTTTCAAAGCGAGAGCAAGACACACGGCCGGTAGTCGTAAATGGGATTTGCTAGGACCACTGCATAGCGATCTGTTTTTTCAAGATAGACTGCTGATTAATGGCGTTGAT